GTCTCCTTGTCAGACGTCCTCCTCTTGGTGGATGTCAAGTATGATGTGGTCACTCAATTGCTGTATACAGAAATGCTTCAGGAGCACCACAGTAAGGAAATGTTCCTCTACACTGTCACCTAAGTACACCTTAATCACAATTATGGAGTCTGCTTTGGATGCTTCATGTTTCTGTTTCATTACTTCTTTGTTGATCCACAGCTAAGAGCATCTGGGAGATGATGCCGCCATGGCAACAGCATCAGGAAGTAGAACAGTTGGAGGATCGTGCAGATGAAGCTTTGGCATCTGTTGATATGCTCAGCTTAGCTGAGTTGCCAGGAGCTTTCAGGATGTACAAGTAACACACATAGATCGTGTTTTTGCTACTTTGCTTGAGTGTTTGAACTTGGCTACACTGCCACTGGTCGGGGATATAAGGTGCCGGTGTGTTATCCAAAAATTAAAAAGGATGTGCATAAACAACTTTGTTAAATAGCACACGTAACGGCAAAGAAAATGGTTTAACAAAACAGATGGGTTAATTTGTAGATCCATCACGACACTACTTATTTAACTAAAGGGTTGAAAAGGGAAGATCCCATCTCAGGTGGCATAGGCCAACAGGCAGGATATACTTTGGACAAGTTCAGCACAGGGAGAACAAAAAGCGACAAACGATTCACACTCACATCCATACGTACTGGCACTTTAGGGTCTACTATTAAGATGGTATTCATATCTTTGTATTATGTCTGTATTATAAATGGAAAACATCTAGTTTGATTCATGTTAAGCCAAAGCACCATGGTAAAGCTTATTTCCCTTCAGGGCCTGTATGAGTGCATCTTTTAGAAATTGTCCTGAGCAGTCCTGGTCTGCCGTTTCTCTTCTGAATGAGTTGCACAAAGTTTGTCAACAAGAACATGATGCACTTACAGTCCTGCATGAGAGGTAAATTATTTCAAGTAGTTTCATACATTTGACTTAAGAGAGTTTTTTGGGGGGGAAATACCACCATGAAACCCTGAGAGGGAAAGGGTTGATTCATCAATCTTTTATCTTCCAGGCTCCATGGGGAGAGCCTGAAACTGTTGTGTCTGTATGTCAGGTTGGCAACTATTAGAGCTCAGAGAGAGAAACTTTCCTATACAGCTCTTCTGGCTGCTCGCCAGTCCTGGGAGACATGGTGAGCCAAAAAACACCATGTATGCAACAGTTTGTATTCACAATCATCAAGTTTTCATATCCTTTGTGTACTGTCTGTCCATTCAGGCCACATGTTAACGGTCCACGTAGAGCAGAGCAGGCCTCCTTGTGGCTACATGGAAAAGCACAAGAGAAAGAGTATGACTTTGAGACAATAGAGCAGGTATTACAAATCAGACTGTGGACAGTAAACTCCTGTTATAATATTGCTCTCAGATTATATACATGATCTTTTTTAGTGGGTTAACATTACTTTTATAAGTAATAGAGCTACGTTTTTGGTCCACTTCTAGCAGTCAGTGCTGCAGTTGCTGGTGCTGACTCAAGAGCAGGAGAGGAAGCAACTTATCACATTAATACATGGAATCTCCATAAAGGATGTGCAGGCACCAGCATTCACAGTGCCTCCAAAATATGGTAATAAATAGTTTTATTTTTGCCAGCAGAATTTAGTTAGAATTTACTTCTTTTTGATTTCCATCATTTCTCCACTTTATTATCTTCTTTCCTGTTTCCTCGACAGACAATCATCATCAAGTTCCTTTGAGGAATGGCTGTATTAAAAGGCTGCATCAAATTCATGCTTGGTTGCAGGCACACAGTGGTACTCAGAG